TATCCTAACCCTAACCCGTACCTCTACCCCCCACAGCTCCTTCTGTAGTCCCTCTACCTCTACCTCTATCTCACCACTGACTCTGATCAGTGTTTCTCCTCTGTATAGCTTATTGTCATAGTGATGAGAAATGTAATATTGTGTCTACTCTGTAAGTCGCTTTGGATAAAAGCGTCTGCCAAATGCATAAACATAAACAACATAAACATAAACTACTGGTAGATGGATCAGACTACTGCTACCTGACCCCCCACCTGCTCCATGTCCACCCTCAGGGCGTGCAGCAGGGTGGTGAGGCTGTGCCGGAGCTTCATGGCCTCCCTCAGCTCCGCCTCTCTGCGCTCCACCATCAGCCGGAGAGCCGCCTCCTCCCTCCTGGAGGAGAAGAACCAGGACCAGGACCAGAGGACCAGGACCAGAGGACCAGGACCAGAGGACCCAAAAGGACCCGGACCAGAGGACCTGAACCAGGACCCCGGAGGACCAGGACCTGGACCAGAGGACCCAAAGGACCCGGACCAGAGGACCCGGACCGGGTCTCTTTCCCTCACCCCCAACCGGCCGAGGCACATGCCCCCCCACCCTGAGCCATGGTTCTGCTCCAGGTTTCTGCCTGTTAAAAGGAAGTTTTTCCTTGCCTGTGTCGCCTAGTGCTTGCTCATGGTGGGAATTGTTGGGTTTCTGTATTTAAATTCAGAGTCTGGTCTGACCTGCTCTGTTTGGGAAGCGCTGTGAGACAACTGTTGTTGTGATGTGGCGCTATATAAATAAAATTGAATTGAACCTGGACCCGGACCAGAGGACCCAAAAGGACCTGGCCCAGAGGACCCAAAAGGACCCGGACCAGGGGACCCAGAAGGACCCGGACCAGGGGACCCAGAAGGACCCGGACCAGAGGACCCGGACCAGAGGACCCGGACCAGGACCTGGACTCACCTCGCCGCAGCTTTGGGCGCTCTGCTCTGTGGTTCCCTTCTTCCCCGGCCTCCGGGCAGGAGGTTCAGCACCTCCATGGCTGTGGGGGGGGG